TGGCAGACCTCAGCCCTGCCAGCTCTGGTCAAGGGCCCTGCCTGCCTCTTTTGCCTTCTGGGGGTTCCAGATGCACCTTGGCCTGGGGGTGCAGCATTCTAGGCCCCGTCTCTGTAGCCACTCGGCCTCCTCCTTGGCTCCCTAAAATCTCTCTGTGCCTCACTCTCAGGTGGGCCCTTTCCCTGGGACATAGGTTTGGGATTTAGCGCTTACCCAGATAATCTCAGATGACCGTCTCATCTCAAGATTTTTAATTACATAAAAGAAGACCTTTTCTCCAAATGGAGTCATATTCACAGCTTGCGTGGATGAGGGCCTGCACATATTTTTCGTGGGGGGCACCGTTCAACCCATTACAATGCTTACGTGTCGGGGAGAGGAGGAGCTCAGACACATCACGTCCGGTGCAAGGACAGTGTCATCAGTTTGATGTTAATTCAGGCTGGTCCCAGTGGGACATGTGCATGAGACCTAAAAGGAGTCTCTTCACAATCAAATACATTATCCTAATAAACAACTTTCAGGTGAAGAATTTATGACCAGCAACAAACACAGGTCCTGTGTCATGTATTACAAGACTATTAATTTTTCCTTTGTAAACTATTTCATTTAAATATCATGGGTCCATACTAATTGCATATCTTTATATAGATTTAAACTATATTTTCATTTATTCAGTTGTTAGTATTTAAGGTTTCTTGACTATCTCCTAATCTATTCCTTTTTCTTACATCAAAATTTAGTCCTTTAAAACACAATCTCCTACTATAGTCAGTTTAGAATCACCTTAATGGAAATTCAGTTCTCCTAAGAGCCAATGTCTCCTGCCAAATCATAATTCTTATTTCCTTCAAGATTCTTAATTTTAATAGCCAATAAAATTAGAAACACTTCTGAATTTAATGCTTATCTTCATTTAAATCACCAGTAGAAATTTACGAACAGCCCCTGTAGCTGGTAATCCCATGTATGATTTAAAATTGCTAAAATAAATAATCAACCAAAAAAAACAACAAAGCCTAAAAGCCTTCTTTAATTCATATTCAAGCTTGTTAATGAGACCGTGTTAATATTTAACGCACACCTCTTCCCATTTACTTCAAAATATTTCTGTCATAGCGATTGGAAAATACACCAGGGTCCTACGAGTAATAAAAAATTCAAATGTGTTTAGAAAAGATATTCAGCTATAATTTAAATAATGTTGCTTTAAACATTTTTAAAAGGACCTCTGTGCCTCTGCTCCAAACAAGACTCGGAAGTATGGCGGGGTTTCCTGGTCAGAGCTTTTGGGAAAGGTGAGTTCGTGCAGGTGGGGGCTGGATGTCAATATTGCGACCAGCAGTAATAATTATCCTTCCTATGAGAGGTAACAAATTTCACTAAGAACACAAGACAATCCACCGTGGAGGAGTTATTGGTGATGAGGGATGTGCCCTGGCCCATCCATCTGGCAAAAAAGAGGCTATGAAGCCAGCCTGGGGCCCCAGGGCCACTGTGCTCTCTCTCAGGGGCAACTGTCCAGAATAAACCCTGCGCGTTGACTTTAAATGAATTAACTTTTTCTACATGTCTTGATTTATGAAATGCAGAATGTGCTGCTGGCTTTTTATTTTTTATTACAGTTGATCAAAATGTAAGAGCATGTAGCTACATTTAACGATTAGAATGGCCTATGGCTTGACACGTTGCCACAGATTACACAGAACATACACTGTAACAGGTGAATGGGTCCACAGGGTCTCTGGTGGCTAAGACTCTTTAGTACATCTCAGTAAAATGAAAGACTTTTATAAAACCCTCAAATCAACTCCAGTTATAGAAATCTTGCTTAGAAAAATGGTGATTTGACAAGAAAATTCATGATTCCACAGGGGTTTAGGCTCTATTATCAACTAATCAATTGGTTTTCCCTGTTTTGTTTTATTTCTGTAAGAATTCAGTAAAATAATTATATTAATTTTAACTATTGGTCGTTTTCCTCCCAATTTTTTCTAAAAAACAGTTAAAATTAAAATAGGAATTTGAAGTAGATATGAAATAGTTTCAAAAACTAAGCATAAAATTATTAAACAATTATTATTTAGCACACTTCTACTCACTTTAGTGCAGTCAGCCTTTATTCAATATCCGTGCATCTTCCATGCACAATAAAGATTTCTGAGACAAATCAAGTATATACCCACTTATGATCGTTTCCATGATTTTAAAGTAATTTTCATAAATTTAATAAATGTTTTTATGAAGAAAATATAGACTAAATGATTGCTGTCTTTATAAGTAACTTTAAAAGTTAATCTCTCAAATATGAAAGAAAATTAAAAGCTCTCCAAGGAGATACAGATATCACTGGACACATCCTGTCCACATCCCACTCCCTGCACAGACCACCGCAGACATATTCTGCTGCGGTCTCAGGGGCCGCCTCCGCCTGACCCCGCACCGCCCTGCTCTGTCTCTCACTGCCCATCCTGTCCACATCCCACTCCCTGCACAGACCACCACAGACATATTCTGCTGCGGTCTCAGGGGCTGCCTCCGCCTGACCCCGCACCGCCCTGCTCTGTCTCTCACTGCCCTCTGCTCGGCCTTTCTCTCAGTTTCTCTGATAATTCTTTTCCCACTGACTTTTTTTCCCCTTTGTCTCCCTGCTCTTCCTTGGTGAAACAATCAGGATACACTTATGTGCCAAGTATATAACCAGGCTTCTAAAAACAGCCAATCTGTTTCATCCCAGCATCCAATATTTTTATCATCATATTAGGATTTCCATTTAAAAACTTCAAATTCAGAACATGTGGAACCGAGTATCTGACTTTGCAAACCACTCCATCCTCCAGGACTTCCTCTCGTGGCTGATGTAGTACCGCCCTCCATCAGTGAGCCCACCGAGAAGCCTCCCGTCCTCCTAGGTCACGACTCCCAGGCTAAGCGTATCCTCCCAGCCATGGCCCAGTTCCCGGTTCCCTCTACACCTCTCCGTCCCTCTGCTAAGCCCAACTGCACCCTGGAGGAGCATCTCGAAAGCCCCTACTATGCCTTCACTTTTCACTGGACCTCTGTTTTTCTACCACTTCATTCTCCCACCCTGTCTAAAAGTATTCCAGTGGCCACACTGTGGAGAGGACACAGCCCTCAGCTGCGCGTGTGTGTTTATTCATGGTTGGCCACCACTAACCTTAGAAGGCTCACCTAACCATCTGCCTACACTTAGCAGAACTGCTGACGGCACGTCCCAGATACAGTGAGGGTGGGTGCCGGGCAATGGTGCACCCTGTCCAGCAACATCTGCTGTCTGCAGAAACTGAACAATGAGGAGTTGGCTTCCCAGAGTCCCTTGCATCTGGGATCTGGTTGTTCTTTAGTTTCCACTAGTCTCAGGTGGTGACATGAGATTTAGAAGGTGGAAGCAGTGAGGGCTTCGCTCCCACTGATTCTGCTGCTACGCCACAGACCCGCCCTGAAGGTGTTGGCTTTTTCTCCGGCAATGAAGAGCTCTAGGTTTAGTCAACAGCATCTGCAGTGTTGAGCGCTGGAGTGTGGACACTGTGCCATGAGGATGGTGGCCGTGCTGAGAATCAGTGACCGTGGTCCCAGCTTTTCCACGTGGCCAGACACTTCCTAACCAAGGGGGCAGCTGTGGCTCCCACAGCAAGCACTGCTGTGGTGTGGTGCTAGGGTCACACCTCAAAGTTCAACTGAGAGTCTCTCAACACTTATTTTACCATTCTTAGTTATTTTCTACTTAAAGAGCCAGAGTGGATTCTGTCTTGTATAGCTGAATGCTGAGTGACCCACATGCCAGACACCTAGACAGTCCCCCGTCCTCCCCAGATGCCTCCCCTCCTGCACAGTTTCAGGCTGTGATTCATCCTCAAAAGTCTTGTCTGGAGAACATTTCTACATTTTTTTGAGGCAAATAATTACTTCCTTCTTTATGATAATATGTCCATTTTTTGAGATGATCATATTATAACATATTACTAATGGTAATATTTATTAATTTGCCTCTCCCTTATTTTAATCTGAGATATTTGAGGGCAAGGAGTATGCTTTGCTCAACTTTGATTCTCTAATCTTCCTTACTTGGCATATCTTGGTGAGTCTTGGTGAACACTGGTTGAAATTAGCTGAGATACATCTTAAGATATTAACCAGAGATTCCCCCTCCATCATGTAACTTGAAGTACATGGGACTGTGGGCAGCAGGCTACAAATTAAAAAGGTAGAAGACACTAACTACAGACAGAATTCGGATTGAGGATAAACAAAGTGTATTTAAGAATCAAAGGGTGAATCAAATCTGATCTGTTAAGAAGACAAGGAGGATGCTTCAAACCTCAACGTCAAGGAGCTTAAGTGGGGTGGGGAGTGGATTAGAAAGAAATACCCTGAACAGAGGTCTTGTGTGGGGACTAATGACAGACGAGTGATGGGAAGGAGAGAACAATCGGCTTGGAGAAGCCAAGTATTAGCCCAGCCTAAGGAGTGTGATAATTTTAATACAAGTAAGAGGAACTCCCTGAAGGTTCTGAAGGAAGAAAGATGTTTTATAAACCTGGCGAGAGAATTCAGACAGATATGAGGGCAGCTTTTGTTCCATGGTTGACATGCTTTAAGGAAAATACTTTAAAACACTAAAAACTATGTTCTGGACAAGAAAACTCATATGCCCAATGTTTACTTGTATTAAGAAAAATTTCCCAAAGTTCATAACAGAATCTTTGTATTAAATCCAGGAGTTCTTGGCTCACATTAAGTTATAATTCTAAAAACATAATGAAAAATATGACACAACATGCTTCCTCGATCTGAAGAATTATTAAGATAATTCCTTATTAGTCTAAAAGAAAGCAGCTTAGAAAAGTAAAGTTTTGTGGGTCATTCGTCCTGCTTTCATGCAACATCATAACACACCCTAAAAAACAAAAAGCCTAAGCTGGGCGCTGGCCCACTGGTGCACTGATGCCCAAGCTGAACGCGCAGTTCTGCCAACTCACCCTTCCTGCGTAGTGCATGACGGTGAACGCCGTGCTTTGATCTCTGAGGGCGACATTCCCGTTCCCGTCCTTCGTGGGGGAGTAGACTGCATTGGTGTTTGATGATTCCAGGAGGCTTTGCAGCTTTTTGGGGAGGTTTGTTTCCATTGGCCAAATCATTTGGCTTTCTTCATCCAATAGAGACAAAAATCCCGACGGCTTCTGAAAGTTGAGAAGAGATAGAAAGTTGTTTCTTCTATTACTTAGTTAAGCATTTTTGTTATTGTTCATGCATGTCACTTATATTTTATTATATTCACATAGACACTCAGAAAATGCATCAGTCTCCACTTTTAACACAGTTCTATTCCTGTTCACTGTTGTATCCCCCACCTGTCACTTCTAAGATATAAAGGAGCCCTAGGTAGAATTTACTAAACATAATGAATGAATGAATGAATGAATGAATGGAAAAATATATTTTAGTGTTGTTAAAACACTGAGGTTATTTACATTTTCCCATTTGAATAAGAAAAATACCATTTCAGAGTTTAGGAAAGTTATTTTTTTGACCTATAACTTATAATATACCAAATACTTAATATTTACTATGGGACAGAAACCTAACGAGATTAAAACATGCACTGACGTGCCTACGGCAAAATCCTATCCAGTAGGTAAGGTGATTCTAGGATATTCAAATGTTTAGGTTTAGAACAAAGAAAACTGGAAGCTATGACTTATTAAACTTAAATTAGAAATCTGATTGTTTATAAATGCCCAACAAAGAAATTAAAACCCATATATAAAGAGAACAATGATTTAAACCTCACTGGGAGGAAAATCCTACTAAGAGGAATTCCCAGGTACTGATGTTCTGCGCCCCCCCCCCAATGTAGTTATGTAAAAAGTCCTGTCGTCCCCGTGGTTCAGACAGCAGTGGGGTCACTTCCCACTTAGTGTGCTCATCTTTTCTCTTAGGTTCCCTAGAAACGTTTCTCTGTTGCTGGATCACCTCCACCTTGTTAAATAAGGTAATTTATACTATTTCTTTGCATTAATCTGTCAAGTGTCTTAATTGTTTACACCAGCTCAATGTACTTTTAAAGGCACAAATGCCATGAAAATAATTCTTCTCAGGAAGTGAAGAGATAGGCTTTGACCCTCTAGTGATCTCATTTGATATTCTGACCTGCAGATACCAAACGGTACCACCACAGGCATTTTATACTATCATTTATGTGCCTAATAAAAAGTCCTTTCTTGGTTTCTCAAATATTTTAGTTGGTTTAAGCCTTTCAAAGGCTCCTGCTCACATTGGAGAAAATCCAAATCCTACATGTAGCTGTCTGTGGGCGGTGAGGGAGGAGGAGGCGACTCACCCCCTCCCTGGGGAGGACACCCCTGGAGGAGCTCTCGTTCCAGAGGGCGCTCTTTTTGGATGTTAGACAAGTGTCTAGAATGAGACACCAAATTGGCTCCCTGGAAAGGAAAGGAAGAAGGACAAAGGAGAGGGGGACGGCACCCCCAAAGAAACTGGGGACGCCTGCAGAGAGCTCCCCATCCACCTGGGGATGCACGTCCTGAGCCAGCAACACCTGGGCAGACTTTTGTCACCAATATGAAAATGGTTTTTGATAAAGAAATATAGATAAGTGAGTCCCTTACTGGGAATATAAGCTCAACACACCATTCTAACAGTGCATTGTAAGAATCCAAAAATCTCAAACTGGACAGGGACCCCATGGAAAATCCCCAGTAAGATCCTACAGGTGAAGAAATGTGTGTACAAACACACACACACACACATACATATATATACACATACATGTGCAGACACACATCTGTATATCTGTCAATGTATAGCAAGCTACTTGGTGAAGAGTAATAAAATGTTGGTCTTACAATATCATAACTCATTCATCTATCAACCCAGCATCATGTCACGATGATTCCTCCGTGCATAGTCACGTACCCGCATGTCCACACACACCATAGCCACGTGCACAAGCAAACACAGATCAGTAGTGGGACAGAGGAGTGATTTTAAGGCTGTCTACAAGTGTGTTCATGGTTCAGGGGCAGTGATAGACCTCATTTGGGGCCAAAACATTTGTTGGGTAAAGCCTTTTAAGTTGTTGTAGTAATTTAAAGATAAAGCCCGTAACTCAGGTATCCTCAAACTATGGCCCACGGGCCACATGCAGCCCACGTAGGACATTTATCTGGCCCGCTGGGTGTTTTTGCCACTGCTGCCTGTCCTGCTTAGTAGCCGACTTGTCCTGGGGCCCGCAGTCCGGCCCTCCAATGGTCTGAGGGACAGTGAACTGGGCCCCTATTTAAAAAATTTGAGGACCCCTGCACCAGTATAAGGGAAGACCCCCATCCAAAGAGAGTAATCCACTCTGCTTCAGAATGTACCGCGATATTCTCCAAGGATGAGGAGGCTGACTCCCGGCAAGACTTGTTAAGCATTATAATTGTATCATCTCCAAATTAAAAAAAGATCTTGTGTGTTATATCTTTTGAGTGTTTGAAATAAAGCCACAAAAGAGTGGTTGTAATTAACCTTCTAGATTTTGAAACTTGTTGGGGTCTAAAAAAGAAAACAGAACATGAAGAAATCGGATTAACAGTCTTCAGTTCCTTCGGCGGTAACGGCTCAGGAGAGACTGAATTGTTCTACTGCATGTGAACGGTTCTCATAGGTAGTTTTGTCTTCACAACAAAAAGCATCAAATATTATAGAGTTCAATGGAATGTGCTAGACACTTGGAGAACTTGGTAAAATCTGCATCAAGCCTTCACCTCTAGGCATAATACAAATTTGGAATCGCCGATTCATAAATAAGGCCTGTGCCGATATTTATTCTGACGCCCATTCTCCAGCAGCAGGGACAGCACAGTGAGACAGAATGGGTGGGTAGGGACCCGAGGCTTTCCTTATGTGATTCAGCTTACAGGTCTGTCAGAGAAAAGGCACACTTATACCCCAAATAAATAAATTATGTAATATCATGACACACACCACAAAGAGGGCTTTCAGGAGGAAAGGGTAGCTGCCTGAATTCTTTGAAAAAGAACATTGACAACATAGCATAAAACGTTCCTTGCTACAGCATAAAGAAAATGCATAACATGAAGTGATTTAGAAATCTACCTTTTCAGAAAGAAAGAATTAAAAATGAAACACTCTGGTCTCCAAATAGTTGAATGGAGCCTGTTTCAAACAAACTCTATGTGTTTTAGAGATATTATGAGTCCATTCATATAATGTCTTCCTCTATTAACAAATCGAGATTGCCATTTATCCAATTGATATTTGTTTAGATGATACAGATTTTGAGTGAAAACATTGTTCATTGTAAAGCAGAAACAATAAAGATAAGCATAAACCCTTGCAAACGCCCTCAGACGCGTAACCAAGTAGTGTATATGTGTACTGTGTTCTCCTGCCAGCTTTTCAAAATTTAAATTGTAAAAACTTGGATGATAAGTAAAACATTCTGTTGAATTATGATATCATTAATTTTAGGTATTATTTTGTAAAAAGTCATATTTCTTTGCCTTGTGCACTTGTAACTAACAAAATGAGGGTTTTAGTGATGCTGAATAAATAATGTCAAATATTTTTACATCAAAATGACCTGCTATTTCTTATTCTTTCAATGAACTGATGATCCTTCAAATGCACTTTGAAAAAAAAAAGGAAATTGTGCTTTTCAAAAGATTTGGAAAGATTGTAAATACTTTGCAGGACCTTCTATGCAGAGATACCTCAAAACCAAGGCCTCCTGAAGGAAAATTCTTTGTCTCCAGTATATCTAAATGCATGTATCCTGTTAAGTATCTAATTATATTATATGAATACCTGGAAAAAAAAATCCAAAACTCCAGTCTGGTTACCAGGAGAATATGCTGTTTCCATGGCAACTCCCTCTTGTATACACTCTGCTTGCTCGTGTAGAAAAAGCACTTCATTGATATAATGGTGCATCTTCTCATTGGTCATGTTGACACAGAGCTAGGGCAGGGGGAGAAAGCAAGCAATTCGTCAGGTAATCCAGCAGTGCATGCCCGCTCGCTCAATGACAACGTTTCAGACTGGTGAGCTATTCCCCCGACCAGTGTCCGGCCCAGCTAGTCCATTAGGATACAGCATTGCAGTGCTGCCCAGAGGACGAAGAGTTTCACCTGAGACCTGACAACGCACCTCCAGCTATTTCACAATTCATACATGTTTGATTGCATATAGTCTGACTTTTCAATTTAAAGAAACTATGTTCAAAACAACAAAAAGTATAAATATAGAATTAACTTATCCATTTTGAGTATTTAAATATTTGAACATTTTAAAAATATTTCCCAAAGGAAAGTATATTTGGATTCTGGTCAAGGAATGAAGATAAGGTTGGGCTTACCATGAACTCTTAAGAGGAAAAAGAAGCGTTTCTTGAGTACGCATTTCTGGTTCCATATTAGTGATGGGCAAGGGTGGACGTGGGTTTCTTACAGTAGTAGTAACTGGACAAAGCATTTTATTGTAGAAACTATTTTCTTTCTCAGAACAGTTTCTACGTTTCTCCAACTGTTAATTTATCTCTTTACACAAGACATTTCTACCAGGAACATCTATGTTATTTCCTAATCTTAGTGTCTTAATTTCTTAATCTTAAAGCTATTTGAAAATGAAACAAGTCAAATCTGATCAAAAATAAATCTGACCACCCCCTTCCCTTCGGTATCCTTCCATTTTTATATTTTCTTTTTAAATTAAAAAAACCTGCAAAGTCTTATTTCTGCTCATTGTCCCAAATTCTTCTATTTTCTCCAAATATAACTTTTGAGTTCAGGTGCCACCAAAATTGCTTTTGTGGAAGTCACCAGTGCTATGTGCAGTTGGAAATCGGTGTTAAACTCTTAGTATTCATTTTTTCTGAGTCCCCCACCCAGTGACAGTGGCTTGCTGGGGACACCTCACTCTCCTGGCCACCTTCCCCTGGGGCTGCCCCTCCCAATCTTCCTTCCTGAGTCTTGGTCCGCTCCTAGCTGCTCTGGTTGGAACATTCCAGGCTCTGTTTCCCCATCTCTCTGTCCCCACCCGCTTCTTCTGGGGGCTTACTCAGCCTCACATCACAGACCCTCTAGTTTCCTCATCTGTCCCTGAACACTGTGGTATCCAAGGTAAAATCCAAAGGTCAGTTATACATACTTAGCGTTCAGTAACTCACCAGAAACAATTTACAATGAATAATTTATATAGAAGAAAGCAAGCGATCAAACATTTTAAAGAAAATGAGATCTCATCTGCAAAGAGAATAACTGCTAGGATTATGTTTAAAGTGAAATATCCTGTATTCATTTAAAGAAAATGTCAAACCTTTCATAAAGAGCATAACAAATATGACAGGAATAAACAGTCACCATTGACAAGAAAGACCTCCCTGGCAGGACCCCCTTCTAGACACCGCTGCCCCCTCAGTGAGGTCGTGCCTTCCCTATAGCTCACGTGACCTCCCTGGCAGGACCCCCTTCTAGACACTGCTGCCCCCTCAGCGAGGTCGTGCCTTCCCTATAG